GTGTCATCTGACATATAACCGGAGTGAATTGACCATGTGCAAAAACAGTTGTTGGTTTGCATAAGACAGCCCACACACATGCTATAAGAGTAAACTCTTGTATCACCAATGACAGGGCTGTAAATGAGTCAACATCAAAGCAGAAACATAGAATGTAAATGCATGGACCTGTTTGTACAGAATCCCAGTTCATCCCTCATTATTTATGTGGATCATGTTAAAAAGAATCTCAAACCATTATGAGGCCAATGAAAAACAAATTTGGTGTTTCCAGTATTAGAGGTAAAAAATATTGGGTAGTTAGGCAGGGATTTTATTATTTTAGATTTATTTTTTCCCCAACATGTTCAGTATATCAAATACAATCATTAAACATTTTTTTTACATGATGATATTACTATCAAATTTTGTTTATTTTAGAAAAAGGTAACTCATTTCCATAAAAATAAAATTAATAACAAATGACAACACATGTCATTGTTTAAGGTTGAGGTGAGTGGCATGAACTGTTGATCGGTGGCACCATTTCAAAAATGGCAGCTGGCAACAGAAAAACCTTCACTGATGTACATGTGTATGTAGTGAGCACAAGGAATTGGCCCCTATCAGTTTTTGCCTAATAAATGGCAGTTATGTACATTCCTGCTGTGGCCATTTACCTACAATAGCAACATCGCAAGCATGATAAAAGCACTCTGATGTACACATTGCAGCTCTTGCTGTTTCTTGCATGTGACAAAAATCCGCCTAAATCACAAGAAAGCCATGCCAATGTGGTGAATCAAATGCAATTTCTTGCATGACTTTCTGCTCAATATTATACAGTGTGTGGTAGCCTATGCTGAATAATCAATGGTGTGGTCACAAATGATCATGAAGATTAATCATGATCACATACTTCATATACACTATAACATTACATTAATGGACAAAGACTATAAATCATATCCATGCCCCTAGACATGGCTACATCCGAGGTCATCATTTTGCCAATGCCATTCTTGCATGTCGTTATTGCTGGTTGCATATAGACTAGAGTATAGACAAGTATTTACACATATCGGCCTTATTTGGTTTTAGATGCTATTTTATTGAGATGCATCGCGACAACTGTGGCTGTGAAGGACCGGTAGGTTAGGTAATTGTTACTAGTCGCACCGTGCACACACATCATATGAGTTCACAGGCCATAGGCCTAGTAAATCGCTGTCATCATTTATATACGATGTAATATTTATTTTTGGTCATTAGTTTCTCTGATTCATGACATCATGTGCCAATAAATCCTGAAAATTGGCTTTGCTAAGCGATGAGTCGTTTAGTACAAAACACTGAATGATCATAGCATGGTGTGCAGAGTTTTAGAGGTAAAGCAATATATTAAAATTTGTGGAAAAGGGCAAAGGCTCTTACCTTAGTACAATGTCTGTACGGCGTCCTGGGCTGGCTGGCAAAATAATCACGTCATCGAAAGATGCGTGTACGTGTACTGTAGACAATTTCCATGACACTGCATTGCATGAGTTTAGTCAACGTCACGATTTCTGTGTATCAATTTTTCTTTTTTTTTCAACAAATAATTCACTTTTTTCTCATGGGAAAACGTCGTCAATCTTATTTTATTAGCCTGAACTTTGTCTTGACAGCGCAAATTATACCCAAATAAATGTCTTTGAATGATTTCTGGCACCCAAAATTGATTCTCAACTCAGTCCTAATTACGCGTTTAGGAATGACCTGGTGATCCAAAATTGACCTCGAATGAAAATACTGCCGCCTACGGCGGGTCCCGGGATCATTGTGTCTAGGTGCCATGATGAAACATATCAGATTTCATGGTATTGTTTGGGTATGGTGGTTGCAATATATATTTGAGGCAGGCATCTAAATTATAAGATGAAATGCTATTCAATATGTCTACATCAGTATACAATAGAACAGACCATCTGATAATGCTGGTGGTAAGAGTAGCAATAAATTGAAACTCAAACAATTACCTGTCTACGATAAGGTGAGATTATTCCAATATCTTTTTGTGTCAGTCGAATTCCACCTCTCTGTTCTTCTAGTAATTCCTTCACATAATCCCACACAACCTCCACTTCTTCAATGTTGAAAAATGATGGACTTTTCCCTTCCCGCTGGTCAATTCCTTCCACGCCATGAAAAATTATGGGAAATTTCTACGAAGAAATGAAATTGATAAGTGTAATTTTTGTTACTAGTCCTGACAACAACCAATCAGAAATTAAAAAAAAATTTTCTATAGGTGCCAATGAGATATTCATATGTCGTTTCCTCCAAAATTGACACGAAATTACAGAAACATCACATAACTATTAGAACCATGCTTGTTGAAAATTTAGAATTAAAATTTCAGTATTGATACAAACTCAAGACTGGTTGTTTTGCGAATGTCTCACTCTGTGAGGATTAAATGCTGATTCATGAAATAACATTTTGCACCTTTATACTACATTTGTACATGCACTATATTAATCTCAGGTTCCCTTATAAAACAATATGACATGACTTACATAAAAGTTCCAAAATCGTACAACATTATGTCTAAGCAGAATTTCAGCACACTATCTAAGTTACATATCTTGAAGAAAATATTACTAACATTTGGTTCTGATAATCAGCCTTCATTCTGTCCAGTTACTTCTATGTCCAACATACAAATTTTATTTTGGTCAAATTTCCAAATGTATTTTGAAAATTATCTATAAGAGTCACACTCAAATTAAACTAGGTTGATATTTTATTATGATTGATAAGATTTACAAGTTTGTCGAAAATTGTTTAAGTTATTGGAACCACAAGAAGAAAACAATTTCAAGTTACGTTGTCACCAATATCTTTTAAAAATGTGAGACATGTCAAAATCAAACCTGGTGAGATCACACACTGGTTAAAAATATATTCGAGTTTGAAAATTGATTAGATTAAAACTGTTTGAGTTGCAGTAACCACAGAAAAAAAAATTACACCAGAACCAACAATGATGACAGACCCCCATCCCCCACCCCCACCTATACATTTCTCTTCACCTATGGAGATATGTAAATTTAAAATTTACATGCAAAAACCTGCAACAAAATTTCGGCATAAAAATACTACTAAAATTATGATGAATGATCAAAATTCTGTTACAATGTTGTCAATACCTGGAACAAAATAATAATCAAAGAAAGCTTAGAAAGAACTCCCGTGTGCTGAGAGTATTGACGCCACATTAAAAATTAATTCAAAATTACTTGTACTTGAGATATTGATGGAATAGCTGAAAACTAATTATGTAAATCAGGTAACTGATATGAACAGATTTGAGGGTAAAACTAATAAAGGCCTGCGTAATGTAATATCCATGTACCAAGTTTACATTGAAATGTGATTAGAACAAAAAAACTATGAATTCTTATTAGAGAATTAATATGAACAAATTTCAACCCAAAATTAATCGAGTCTGTCTATTGTTCTAGAGCATTTATGTACCAAATTTTATTCAAATGTGATGATCAGTAATTGAGATATCAGTGTTAATTAATTATTTTAATTAGGTGATTAATAATAAATATTCACCAAAAACTAATTGGGTCTCTGCTTAGTCCTAGGTTTATTGGAATGTAATGATGAATACTCTATAAAAGTTACATTAAAATCCAATTAGTGGTTCTTTATATATCAGTGGAACATTCATGAAAAAAATTAACTAATTATGCAAATTAGGTAATTAATATGCACAAATATTTAGCCCAAAACTAATCAGGTCTCTGCACAGTCTTTAAGTAACTATGTACCAAGTTTCATTGAAATGTGATGATTACTACTTGAAATATCAAAAGCTGAAAATTAATTAATTATGCAAATTAGGTAATTAATATGTACTGATATTACCCTAAAAACTATTAGGTCTGTGCAGTGTCATATGACATCTATGTACCAAGTTTCATTGAAATGTGATGATTACTACTTGAAATATCAAAAGCTAAAAAAAATTATTAATTATGCAAATTAGGTAATTAATATGTACTGATATTACCCTAAAAACTATCAGGTCTGTGGAGTGTCATATGACATCTATGTACCAAGTTTTATTGAAATGTGATAATTACTACTTAAAATATAAAAAGCTGAAAATTTATTAATTATGCAAATTAGGTAATTACTATGTACTGATATTACTCTAAAAACTATCAGGTCTGTGCAGTGTCCGATGATATCTATGTACCAAGTTTTATTGAAATGTGATTATTAGTATTTGAGATATCAGTGAAAAAGCCAAAAATTGATTAATCATTATGCAAATTAGGTAATTAATATTGCACAGATTTTTACCCAAAACTAATCAAATCTGCGCATTAGTTCAGAGCATCTATGTGCCAAGTTTCATCAAGATCCAATGAGTGGTTCTTCAGATATCAGTGGAACAATCATGGAACAGCTAAAAATCAGCTAATTGTCATGCAAATTAGGTAATTAATATTGCACAGATTTTTACCCAAAACTAATCAAATCTGCGCATTAGTTCAGAGCATCTATGTGCCAAGTTTCATCAAAATCCAATGAGTGGTTCTTCAGATATCAGTGGAACAATCATGGAACAGCTAAAAATCAGCTAATTGTCGTGCAAATTAGGTAATTAATATGCATGGATTTTTATCAAAATTTAATCAAATCTGCGCATTGGCCCAGAGCATCTATGCACCAAGTTTCATCAAAATTCAATGTATGGTTTTTGAGATATCAGTGGAACAGACACACACACAGACACACACATACTTGTATTGCTATATGTTCCGAGGACTTCATGGGATTAACTTTTAATATGGTTGAATTAACTTTTAATATAGTTGCGATATGAACTCGATTAAAACGCGTTTCTATATAGGGTTGCGTTTTAATTGGAGTTTAATTAAACTCAATTACAATGCAATACAATGGAGAATTGCATTTTAATTAAGTTTAATTAAACAAGAGTTGAATATCCCGTGACTGAACATAGAAATGTTTGCGAAGCTTAGGTTT